ACACACACAACTACACACACACACACACTCCTCACACACTGCAGGCACATAACGAAGCACAAACCCCCTGGGCAGCGAGCACATCAAATGAAATAAACCATATTGGATTGCTATGGCGAGTGTATCATGTAGAGAGCTGATGGAAGTCATATTTAGTATCGTGAATATTCATTATACAAAGTTAGCGCTACAGAAATTTTTGTTAGAAGGCGCGTTTGTTGTAAACAATATTCTTTATGAAAACTGAAACAACTTTATATTTTATTATATTATATATGTAACTGTAAACTACTTTATATTTTAAATAATTAACCCAGTTATGCAGTGACATCTAGCTGGAGGGAGATATATTTTTATTTCGTTTAGTTTTTGTTCAGTTGTGACTCAACCTTCAGAGGTTTTTTGATCGTCTCGTTTTTTCTCGAGCGTCATTTCGCATGTAATCCATGCAATAAATGGAAGCTTCATATTCAAACATTTTTTGGAGTTTTCAAATCATCGTCATCATTATCACCATCATCATCACATCCACATCATCACATTCGTATCATCAACATCATCGTCGTCGTCACTATCATCCCACTAAAATCATCATCACATTCATATTACCACTTACCACCATCTCATTCAAACCATCATCATCATCATCACCAACATATTAAAATCATCATCAGCACCTTCCCATCAAAATCACAATCATCACATTCCTGTCATCATCATCATCATCATCACCACCATCTTCATCATCACAGTACAACCCTAATCACCACATCTCATCATTAACACATTCATATTTAACTCGAGCGTTCTACTAAGCTCTGTACGGTTAGCTACCCACTTGTAAGCGAAGGAAATATTGATAGGAAGACAAATTTCACCACTACACTCAATTCACGTCACCATCATCATCATCGTCATCATCATCATCACGTTCATATCATCATCATCGTCGTCATCATCACGTTCATATCATCAACCCAACACCATTGTCAAAAAGTTATAATATTCATCAGGACAGCAGGAAGACACACAACGTACAAATTGAACCACTTTTAACAGTTCTCAACTCGACCAAATTGTAGTGCTGTATTGCTGATGTTGTTCAGTCGTTGTTGTTGCCGTTGTTTTTGTTGTTTTTGTTGTGGTTGTTGTTGTTGTTGTGGTTGTTCTTTTGTTACCATGTGCATGAAACATGACGTTCATTCAGAACGAAGAACATTTATAGTGTGGGTGGCTGAAAAAATATTTCGTCCAACAGTCTCGTTATTTTGTAAGTGAAGAATTCATTCCTAGCACAACCCTAACGTCATAGGTCGATATGTTTTTAACCATTCACAGATTAGAACAACTAAACATTGAAGGTGATGAAGTGTCTGTGCGTGGGAGCTGCAGCTGCATAATTAACTGACTCACCTAGACTGATTGATTGCTAAGCCTCGCATGTTGCAAACATTAAACTGAATATTTTTTCAAAACATTCAACTGAATGTTTTGCAACATGCGAGGCCTCAAACTGCGCATGGCCTCAAACAAACAATTCAGCTCATCCACTGTCCTGTATAATGTACAAACGCACGCAAACAAATAAATACACATTTAAACACACGTACAAACACGCGCAACCAAATACACACACGCACAGACACACAGAGACACAAATGCACACGTACATACGTATGGATTGGCACACGCATGTTTCACTACTAACTCATCGGGTAGGCTGAATGTAATTTACTGCCGGCTAGTCGATTGTGTCAAATTTTTAATTTGTTCAGTCGCATGTTGGGTTTACGTTCGCCATTATTTAGTGCAGACAAACCAGAAAACAGATAAAAACCAGATAGACAAATAACCAGACGGAGAGACATTACTGACAAGGAGGAAGGCAGGCAGACATACGAGCGGCCAGACAGACAGAGAGAGACAGACAGACAAGCAAGCACACAGACGGTCCAGTAGAGCAGACTGCCTGACACAAGAACATATGCGCTCTGCATGTCCGAGCTACGTGCCTTGCATTGCTCCAATATCTGGCAGTAAAAACGAACCTGAAAAAATTCATGGTGCACGGTGCTTCCATCATAATGATTGCTGGCTTATTTGTTTGAGCTCGTCTGAAATTTTTGGAAAAAGAATTTTAAAAATGTTCTACAGAAGATTTTTTTTGAGAGTTGAGTGGTTATTGACAAGATGAAAATGCGTATGTTAGAATTTAATCATGTTTTTCGTATGTCTCTGTTCTTGTTAGTGTTTGTGTTTGTTTGCATTTCTGTCTGTGTGTTTGTTTAATGATGGTGTATATCTCTTCTCTATGTGTTTGAGATCAATCTTCATCAGCATTCATTAGTGTGCGTGCGTGAATGTCTATATATATATATATATATATTAGGGTGTCCCAGAAATGCATTGAAATTTTTTTTTTAATTAGTTGATGTCTCACCCTCTGAAAAGTGTCTCTTGGGTACAATAATTAAATTGGTGAAGTTGCAGCTCATTTGAACAAGTTTGAGAGGTCCCCCAAGGGCTTTTAAAATTTTACTATCGAGTTAATTCAAAATCCATATCAATAATCTTAAACAATATGCACAAAATGAGTGAAATAAAGCTAGAAATGCAAACTAGTTTAATTATCTCACTGCAGACATTAATTATAGTTTAAAATATTATTAACAATTACCTGTAGAATGATAATCTTTATTAGAAAATGCAAAAAATGTATATTTTTAACCAGTCAACTCGCGATGTTACTGGTGTTGTCAACGTAGATTGGTTACCTGTCCTGCTCTCATCCCTTGTCGATGGCACTACAAAACTTCTTGGAGTTCCAAGGTTAGCATCTGGATTAGGACGAGCAGCTGCTGATGCAGTTCATGAACAGATAAAATCTTGAAGGTGTGAATCAATGGTTATTGGCATGTGCTTTGACACGACAGCTTCCAATACTGAAAAACTCAATGGAGCTTGCACTCTTCTAGAAAAAGCCATGGGACGTAATTTAGTATGGATGGCTTGCCGTCATCATAAGTTTGAAGTGCTGCTTGCCGGTGTATATAGTGTTTGTCTTGGAACATCCACTGGACCAGAAATTTTATTCTTCAAAAGGTTTCGTGAAAATGGACAGAAATGAATCACACACCAGAAGCCAGATCAACCCCTTTGATAATTGTTTCAGATGCAATTAAAGCATTCATCAAATGTCAACTTGAGGTCAGACATTCTCGAGATGACTATTTAGAGTTTCTACTTCTTGCTGCACAAATAGCTGAACTGCAGGTTGATGTAGCCATTCGCAAACCTGGTGCACGGCACAGGGCACGATGGATGGCAAAAGCCATCTACGCATTAAAAATGGAACTATTATTCACCGTAAATAAAACCATTTTTAACTTAAACAGCTCGAGAATTACAAGGTATTCAACGTTTGAATCGGTTTATCATTTGTGTTTATCTTCAGTCATGGTTTTCATGCAGGCTCACTGCTGATGCACCTGTGAATGATATTTTTTTGATACAGCGTTTGCATGACTATGACGATGCAGTTCTTGGTTTGACGATTAAAAATGATGCTGCGTCATTTTTGGTACATGAGTCCAGAATTGGCAACTCTTGTTCTTTCTTCATCTCTCCTGTATGACAAAGAAAAGACTGATCTTGTCCGCACAATACAAGCAGATGGAGGCCCACATCTGATGAAAACACTACCACAAAGTTTTGACAATTTGCGTGCGTCTAAAACATTTTTTGAAACATCTAATATTGATGCCAGTTTTCTTGATGTACTTGTTGAAAACTGGTCAGATACCCCTTATTTCCAAGTTGCAGCAGTGTTTATAAAGAATCTGGTTTGCATTAATGACTCTGCAGAATGGGGAGTAGCGTTGGTACAACATTTCAATGAAACAATCACCAAAGACGCAGAGCAGAAACAATTTTTGCTTCAAGTAGTTGAAGAGCATAGGAAAAACTTTGCAGAATATAATCGTGAACTGCTAGCAAAAATTTGAATTATTTGCATTAATTAATATTCAAGCGAACTGAAATTCAATAAAATCTTGTTTTTCAATCATTTTTGACCTAATTTTTGAAATTAAAAAATAAAAGGCATTGCAGATTTATATATTTTTTCACAATTATATATTTTGTTTCATTTGTATAAACAAATCATAAAACATTTATAATCATATCATATAACACTGTATCAAAAGTTGGTAGCGAACAATCAAACACCAAAATCGGAAACTTTCGACCCCTTGGGGGACCTCTAAACATTGTCCAAATGGGCTAAAATTTAGCAGGTAAATTACTGTTACTATACAGACATATTTAATGGGGTGAGACATCAATATTTTAAAACTTCATATTTTTGGGACACCCTAATATATATATATATATATATATATATATATATATATATATATATATATATATATATTTACGTGTGTGTGTGTGTTTGTGTGTGTGTATTTTTGTGTTTGTTTGTGCGAGTTTTAGCATTTCGACATTAAGCTTTAAATGAAGCCGCATTTTATTTCAACTCGTTTTTACTTTTCAGAATCGAAAATTAATGTGTGCGCGCCAAATAAATAAATAGATTGTTGTTCAAAAATCTCAATCAAGTTTTCGATACATATTTTTAAAAAATATTTAAAAGCGATGAAAAAAATGAACATCTGCTTATTAAGGGACGCGTGAAAACACAAACTAATCTACGGACGGCAACAAATGAAAGAAAAACATATAAACATAGAACTAAACAGTAACATACAAACAAAGAACCAAACCAAAATACACAAAAAAAAAACTTAGAAACAATAAAAAAACTAACAAACAAAACAAACAAACATAGAAACAAACCAACAAACCAAACAAACAAACAGAGAAATAAACAAACAAACAGACGAACAAACAGACGAACAAACAAACAAACTAACATACAAAAAAAAAACAGAGAAACAAACAAAAACACATACATAGATATAAATAAATAAATTTGGACTGACCTGCCACAAGTTGCACATTGTGTAACCAAACGGCCAGTAATCTGTGTGAATGAAGGAAGGATTAAGTGGAATGAATGAAAGATTAACTGGATGAATAAAAGATTGAGTAAATGAATAAAAGATTGAGTGAATGAATGATAATATATAAAAGAATAAGTAAATGAATGAAAGATTGAGTGAACAAATAAAAGATTGAGTGAATGATTAAAAGAATGAGTGAATTAATAAAAGATTGAGTGAATGAATTAAATTGATTAGTGCAAGTTAAATGAAAATCGTTTTGTCGGTGAAAAAATGTAATATTACAATAACTTATTTATTTTGGATAACCCCAACCCAACAAAATAATACTTTTTTTTCGAAATAATATTTTAACAATATTTAATGATGAAAACATCTAAATGAATCATGTTAAATTATATTTCCGATTCTTTATTTTTTTTCGAGTTATAAAAAAAAAACTTCCAACAATAAAAACATGAGAGGTCATCACGTACAAATTTTAGTCTAAGAAGCATCATTGTTGCCTCAAAATAGAAACATTTAGTCAATGAAGTACAGTCAAAGAAAACATTTAAGAATACCTCAATAAGATGGTTCTGTTTGTTAGACGGGCTCCTACTATGTTACGACTCCTTATGTGTTTTTGTTAACATGACATAAATCACAGGCGATCACATGCATGAACCACCGCCCCGGAAGACGACAGCAACAACAGCAGAAACACTAACAACAACAACTGCAACAACAACAACTCAATTCTAAATAATGTAACAGTAACAACATAGTCACAAGACAATGCAACATAACGCAGCATAACGCCTCACCAACACCGACAACATCACAGCAACATGACGAACGTTTATCAGCAACATTATCTTCACAAGCACCCGAATTCAAAATGGACCAATTCAGTCAATTCAACCATGAACAAGTACCCATCTTCTTATTTCATTTGTTGCACGCACACACACACACACACACACACACACACACACTCATATAGGTATAGGAATACCGAAAAAAGATTTTTTGTTCTATCATGCTTAAAATATATAAAAATTTTGGTTTTGAACTCAAGAAACTTTAAAATGATTTACGATCAACCGTTAGAAAATTTAAAAGCTAAACGGATGCTAACTAACGCGGAACACGCCGTGCTTTTCATCTATTGCAGTTTTTTAATCCAATTTTACTCGGCAAAAAATGAAACCAGCAGATCCAGAAAGAAAAGCTTGTGCAGACCACACAAACTAAATATACGCCAAACAAAATGAAATAAATATTAAATCAATGTCAATTGATGAAGAAATACAGGAAAATAAGAAATAATGCAAATTTCTATTCTATTCATTATTACACATTTTTTTATTACCTACTATTTTGAATGTGTTCAAGGAAAAAAGAGTTAAACTATGAAAGCCTAATTCATTCCAGATAATAACAACTCTAACAAACAAGAACCTATAGTTTAATTCGGTTCTACTATTCATCATATCATATCATATCGTATCGTATCGTATCATATCATATCGTATCGTATCGTATCATATCATATCATATCATATCACATCCCATCATTATTTAAATAGAAAGGACGTGGCCTATCGCCAAACTATAAAAAAAATTGAGATAACACGAGAGTTACTGCCGATAAATAATTCACAGATGTAGAAAACAATTGATTCAAACAAGTGAGATGATGAACTCGTGTGCGTGTATGATTTATAATGGCATGGGTCGACGTTCCGCCCACATGGGATGTCATTCGTGCGATCGAACGAACGATTCCACCCAAGTCAAACGTTTTAAACAGTTTTGCAGTCGGTGCCAGTGAATCGTTAATACATTGAGGTCCGTAACAACAACAACATCATCGCTACCACTTTAACGCTGATGATTACGATGGTGATGATGATGATGGTGATGATGATGATGGTGATGGTGATGATGATGATGATGACGATGATGATGATGACGATGATGATGATGATGACGATGATGATGACGACGATGACTCAATGATCAATTTGAATATCAGTTGTAAGCACTTCTCTCTCTGAAAATCATCAAAGGAATGTTCTTCATTGAATCATTCTCTGCCGAATTAATCTCATTATTTTCACCAAGTTGTATTATATTATTATTTTTATTATTATAATAATATTATTATTATTATGATATTCAGAATATATTTTATTAATAATTTTGAACCTATTGATTATTTTGCAGACTCGTATAACATTGATTCGAAAGTATTGATTGGGTTGGTGTGAGGCTCTCTATGAAAAAATATATCATTATGTTATATCATGTATCATTATGTAAAACATGTATTACTGCATGATATCATGTTTTATTGTGTTATAAATTGTATCATTAGGAGATACCATGTATCATTATGTTGAATCATGTGTAAATTATTCTGTACCAAGTATCCCTATGTGCATCATGTATCATTATGTTACAGCAAGTAAAATTATGTTACATCACGTTTAAGTAGTTATATCATATATTGTGCCGGATCTAGACAACTCTAGCGGATGTTCCTACATCTTCACAATGTTTCAAATGGTTACCGGGAAAGAATTTTCAAAAAGTATTTCAATACGTTTCAATGTTGACCGGGGCACCAGCATTTCAACCAGAGAGCCAACATTTTGACAAGGCTAACATTTTGAGAGGGGGCCAACATTTTGACAAAAAAACCACCATTTTGACGAGGGAGCCAACATTTTGACCAGGGGGCAAACATTTTGACCAGGGTGCCAACATTTTGACGAGATGGCCAACAGTTTGACGAGGGAGCCACCAATTTGATAAGGGAGCCAACAGTTTGTGGAGGGGGCCACCAACTTGATGAGGGAGCCAACATTTTGACGAGGGGGTCAATATTTTGACGAGGGCACCAACATTTTGACGACGATGGATGGAGTATCACTGTATCATGTTCTGTATCATAATATTACATGGAAAATAATTTTATTATTATTTTATGTCATATAATTCTGTATTATTCTATGTATCATTGCTTTATATCTATTTCTGATATCTTATAATGTATCATCATAATATGTATTATATATCATGGACCATCATCATCATCATCACATAATTGATCATTACATAGTCCATCATCATCATATCATGTAACATCTATCATTTATTATCATTTCATATATCATATCATGTATCATCATCATCACATCATTGATCATTATATAGTCTATCATCATCATATCATGTAACATCTAATCATTATCATCTATCATTATCATTTCATATATCATATCATATCATGTATCATCATATCACCTGACAACTTCTATTATATAAGGTATCACCTAATCATCATAACAAATAATGTCTATTTTTTATATCATGTGTCATTTAATTTCATACTATGTATCATCTATCATCATATCGTGTATCATCTGTCATTATTACATGTGTATCATATCATGTATCATCATGTACCGTCAAATAACGTTTTGTCTGCCATCAAATTATGCTTCAATAGCAACATTGTACGTTGTTTTGGATTTCTAATAATCTTAGCCACCGTTCGATAATTGAGATGACATGGAGAAACATTAAATCTAATTAGTTGGACCATTTGGAGTAATTGGAGGAAGGTTTATCGTGAACACTTCACTTACGTTTTAACGATTCTTTCATTTACAATCACTCTGCGTATAACCCCAAATTGTGGGTTTTAAAATTTGTCAGCTCTGAAACAAAACGTGGGTGATGAGTTGACAAAAACATGGTGTTCCAATGCGTTCGGTTTTGTAGTTGTTTTTAAAAATGTTTGTTTTGGAGTTGTTTGCTTTGAAGATGTTTGTTTTGAAAGTTGTTTGTTTAAAAAGTGATGTTCATAAAACAATTTGTTTGAACACATACTTGACTTGTTCAGGTTTCCATGACAACATACTATAAACAAACATTTCGTTAATTTTTAAAACATGCTTCAACAATTTTAATGAAGATGAAACGGACTCTTCTTCATCAGTTATTTTTTTTAGGAACGTTGAAGTTCACTGCTCAACTTTAAAATTTACAAAACAAAAATAATGCGTATAAATATATTGCATTCCTGTCTTTTTGTAGAGTTTACGAAGCATTCAGTGGTTTATGTGTTTGTAATGATCCAAATTAGGGTACCGTTCTTTCGTTCGTTCGTTCGTCTGTTTGCTTGTTTGTTCGCTTCTGTTATTCTCGTTTAATTGCGATCGGCTTCATTAAATATTCATTCTCACATCAACATGGCCGTAATGACGAGGGATAATTTTGTTACTACCTTCGCATTCAAACTTCAGTTTTATAACGGAAATTTTTGTCTCATCGTTTTACAGCACTGCTTCACAGACCTCATCAATCGTTGACTTTTTTTATTGTTGTGTTTCATACCAGACACTTGAAACAAATTCAATTCCTCTCAGTGGCTCTCAGCACCAACCTGATACATTTCACGAGATGATATATAATACATTTCGGTGACCAAACAACACGGAGTGGTTGCTCAAAATTCAGGACGTACAATGTGAATTTTAAAATTTGTAGGTGACAAACAGTGTTGAAACAAAACGTAAGAAAGAAAAACGCTGATCAAATTTAGTAGAACTGCAAGACTCTACAACACGAACCGTTTGTATTTGCTTTTGCGATAACTCCCTTATTCAATCACCTCCTACTTTATTTCATCAAATGAACAAACATGGACAATCCGTTAACATTTTTCAGTTTCTCTACTTACAGACCTTGCACCATCAATTCGTAATTCTGTTATTCTCGTTTAATACGTAATATTCATCAACGTGTCATCATCATTCAACCTGTTGATAAAGTTGCTAAGTCACGTCATCTTGTGAAATCATTCACGTGTTCGTTCGTTCGTTCATTCATTGGTTCCTTCATTCATTCATTCATTCATTCATTCATTCATTCATTCATTCATTCATTCATTCATTCATCCATTCATCCATCCATCCATCCTTCCATCCATCCATCCATTCATTCATTCATTCATTCATTCATTCAT